CCTGCAGAGCAGCCTGGATCGGTTTGGAGCAGAACACCACAGGCAGGTCCGGCTTCCTGCTCTGTATCATCCCTCGGTCCAAGCTGCATGTTTCACATTATAATAAACTGTCAACGGAGCAAATTAAGATACTCTTCTGCTGTAGCTGCTTAAATAAAAACACCCTCTGGGTATTCCAGAGCCTCCCAGCCCAACACAGTACCTGTTGATTGACAGGTAAACACAGGGTCTATCTCCCTAATGAAGCGTTCAAATTAACAGCTGATGGACAGTAAATATATACCGAGATAGATTTCCCCATGTGAAACATAATAACCTCATCCTGAGTAATCACCGACATTCAGTGTTAGAAATGGATTGATTACTCCTTTAATGAAAGAACGATGACATTGCTATTTAGGGATGCAACTGATTTAACAACATGCAGCGGTAGCAGTGATTTTCTTTTTAAAAATGTTTTGATTACTTTCAAAATGGTATGGAAATTAGGTGCGAGGGAAATCGAAACCCATCTGCTAGTCCATCGGTCAGATTTAGCAAGCTCGTATTAATGCAGTGCATTTCATTAGATTGTATTATAGAGTGTATATATGAGCTAATGAATGTAGAAATACCTTGTGGTGTTAGTAATACAATCTCCTTCCTGTAATTTATTTTCCACATGAGATGCATTATATTGAAGCTAAAGACGAGATCCAATAATAATCAAGCTATCATGTGCTTAGGTTAGGATAACTACAAGGAACGCTACACAAGTGCACACTGTGAACCAAGAGTGGAAGAATTCAGATCCTTTACTTGAGTAAACTCATACCACACTGAATATATATTTATCCAAAAGTTAACTTTTTTATAAGCTCAGAAAAACAGCCCAGTTTAAGCTATGTGACAATGCAAGAGGGTTTTAAAATAGTTTATTTAGCTTAGAAAGTAGGATATTTTTTGCAACCCATAAAGGGACACTTCAAAAGTAAAAATCAACAAATTTCCACTGGATAGGGTAGGGTATAAAACATTGTAATCAGAAAGGTAACTAGTGATTAAACAGACACATGTAGTGGAGTAGAAGTACAATATTTGCCTCAGAGATGAAGTGTAAAAGTTCCATTAGATGTGACGAAGTACAATTCGTACCTACGGTCAGTACTTGAGTAAATGTAGTTTCCACCGCTGCCCTGAACACTACTGGGGTGTACTCTGAAGAGGCTTTCACATTATCATAACCCTTTTCAGACACACACACTCAAGACAAAACACCCAGAGTACTTCACTTAGTCCCTTCTGTTGTTTTAGCATTGTAAAGTTAACGGTACCTTATTTCAATTCAAATGGATTTCTATAGGTGAGTCACTGACGTGTCCTACTGACATTACAAGATGGGTTTTTGTTTTGTAAATGGAACAATTGGTCATTAATCACATCACTATGACAACAATTGAGTGTAGTCACTGAAAGACTTCCAGAAACTGTGGGACTTTAAGAATGCTTGATTGTGGGAACCTGGCACCAGTTTCGGGTCCGAGCCAATATACTGGTCAATATTAACTTATTGTAGATATATTGGTATCGACTTAAATGCAAGCTGATAAATGTACTGAAAGATAAGTTTGAGGAAATTATAAAACTGTCTGTCAGTTTGTCCACCAGAGAGCACTGACAAGTTCATTTAACCCTGGACAAAATAAATGAGATAATATATCGGCTGACAGTCATTTTTGATAAGGATCCTTTAAAATTCTTCTTTTTAAATTGCAAATATTGATATTGATATCTGCAACAATAATCCAGCATCAGTGAGGCTATACTAACCACTCCACAGTGTGTTAATTTAGACTGCAAACAAACACTTGTCCCAAGTATCAGTATCAGTGTTGTTCTTGCTACACAAAGACACATAAATCTAAATTAGAAAGGAAGGGCTCGCTGTAGAGTTAAGGGAACTAATGCCCTCTAAGGTTTAGGCTCTGTGGGGCACATTAAAATAATAAGTAGGCCTAACAACACTTTTTTTCAATACATTTCTTTTGTTTTACTTGGTGTGATTTTAACTATTTTAAGCATCACTTGTTGGTAGCATGATGTCATCTGGACTGTCATGGATGATTTTGTTTCTACTGTACACATAAAAGTGAAAGAGAATCCTTATTAGCACCACATTTTCCATTAGTCTGTTCCATAACTACACTACACTTGTGCACTAAACTTCACACAGTAATAATGTTTGTTCTGGTATCCAAAGCAGTGCTGCCTTTTTAACCTCTCCAAAACATGCTTTTTTGTAACATACAGTTGAAAAAGACTTTACAGGTTCATACAAGTTCAATTTTGAAAGCTGCAGGTAACAGGTTCTATAGTGGAAAAAGAGCTATTTGCAATCTCAGGCCACAAAAAAAGAAGTATTGATTTGATGTCCTCCTCCTTGTAATGTCAATTAAACTAAGTTTAAAAAAAAAAAAAGCTTGCAAAAGCAAAAAGATAAAAGCACAGACTAGTACAGGATATAAAATCAAACATTACATTTACAATATTACAGTTATGTAGCCAATTTCCTGCATTGCTTTTAAAGAAAGAGAGTGGGCGAGTGAGAGGCCAAACAGGAGAATTTAATCTGTTAGACGGTTATGATTACGAGTTGAGGCAGAAAATAAATCCCAACTGCTGAAAAATCCCACACTTCAGATCTTTTTCCACCTCTGCACTCGTCCCTTCCAATTCAAACATCACACTGAGTTACAAAAAAACTTCCAGATGATTCAGACGAGCCAAATGACATCTCATACAGGCAAAATTAGGAGATGGTTTTGTTTGAGTCTTGTTGTTCAGAGAGGGTGTAATGGATGAGACTCCTCTGGAGTCATATTATGTCTCTATGATGGATCCGCTTTTACCAAGCTAATAAAAAACCCCTCACTGGCTGCTGCTTTTCCATCACCTGCTGCTGTGACACAAACTCGTAGACATTCAGATTTTTATTTTTCACTCACATCTGTTGGTCCATCTGACAATAGCAGCCAACAGGTGTGATTTCTATCAACCCTTTTGTCTAATTTACATGTAACACATACCGAAGACTGAATACATGTTCTGTATTTTTTTTTTACTGGAGTTCATCTTCCAGTGACTCACCAATTTTCTGTCCCTTCTCAGCTACAGAACAAATTAAATACTCCACAGCCTGCTGACAATGAACAGAATAACTTCTATTAAACCTCTATGTCAACCTTTATTTAACTTAAAATAACATTATATTCAAAAAGAAAAGTTATTCATACTTTTTTTGTAATTTCATGGTTGCAATATTGTTCAGTGCATAAAAGCTGATTTATTTTACTCTTATCACTCATGTATCTTTACTATAATAATCTACAGTATGTTAAAAATATATTATTACTGGTTGGTTCGTAACAAAAGTGTTGGAATTGCTGGTTTAGTACAATGTTTCTTTTTCTAATTCACTTCTTGAAAAGCTGTTTTCTACTGCCTACAAATCCACTTCAGTGCTACGATACATCCAACCTAATTTAAAAATGTATATATCAGACTAAAAGGTTATTCAAATGCTGTTCAACACTATTCAAATTCAAATGCTCAATTGCTGGACGTCAGCAGTTGCACCTACAAAGGCTGCACGAACCACACATAGTTTGTTTCCACCAACAGTTGCAAGATCTATGCTCCTTCATGACTGTCAAAGCCTAAAAGAAAATCTGCCTGAGTAAATACAAAATAAATTGCTGGTTTAATGCACTAATGACTGGAGCTCTGGTGGTAGATGACCCTGCAAATCCCACAAGGACACTGATTGTCGTGTGTTCTTGAACCAAAACAAACAAACCAGCAGCTTGCATGGTTTCTACACAGTGCAATTTGCACCAAAAAGAAAGGAAAAAAGAGCAGAGGTTGGGTGAAATCCTGGATGGAAAGATGTGGGCAACACAGACTCTAAAGCCAACAGAGAGAACTGGAGATGAGTGAGCTTTGTAAATCAAAAGCCGACTTCAGGTAATGCAGCTCATTTACTCTGGTGTCATGCTGTTGTTCCGATGGCCCAATAGTCAGAAAAATGGTCCATTGGCCCGAAAGCTTATTTGTGTCAATAGCCCGTTATTCCAACAACAAACTGAAACACACTCTGGGTTAAAATAAGTAGTAAGTTATGTAGCTATGTTGTTGATACCAAACCACAATCTTTTCCTAAACCTAACCAAACTACAACCGTTTCACAATGTTAACCACATGTTTTATTTCCATGACAATAAAGGTCACCTCACTATGTCTTTTCCTGAACATCCAAAAACACTAAGACATTAAGAGAAATAAACTGCAGGGAAAGTGTATTTTTGGTGAAAAAAAGGGCCTCTGCGATGAGTTTGTCAAACCAAATATGCTCACAGTCGATGCACACAGGATAAATAAATGGTAACATGCTTCTTAACGGCATGTTAGCTGGCTAATCAGGGTAAGACTGATGGGAATGCCATCAGTTTTGTAGGTATTTGGTCATAAACCAAAGACAAATTAATTTTTTTTTCACCTGATGATGGCGCTAGATATAGAAGACAGAGGATCATCAAAGTTCTTCTAATTCATCCTGAAGGGGGGCATTAATGTGTATTTTTGTGACAGTCCATCCAATAGTTGTCAAGATATTTCACTGAATAGTGAGTGGATAATAAAACTGTAAGTCAAGATATTTCAAATGTCATCCTTTTTAACCACAAAAACTCCCTGAACCAGCAGAGTTAGGAAGATTTATCATTTGGGGGCCACGTATTTCTGTACAAACTTTTATGGCAATCTCTTCAGCATGTTTTGAGATACTGAAGTCTGGACCAAAGCGGTAGACAAACAGACATTCTTAACTTTATTACTGTTACTTTTTAGTAAAATATGTCCAGACCTAACGGAATGAATCTTCAGAGGTTATTTCTCATGTATCTCTGGCAGGAGCTTTTGTGACTTATGAACTTTCGCTCCTCTTCAGAAGAAAACTTCCTCACCTGTGAGTTGAACCTCAGCTGGCAAACACTGCAGGAGACGTGCCTTCTCTTTGCTGTGGGAGGGAGGCCGAGGGTGTGATGGAGGACGGCTTTCTGAACCGGGTCCATCTGGAGGATGAAGAGAGACACAGAGAGAGGCTAATTAAAACAGTGCTAAAGCTGACCTGTAAATCAGCTTCACTCTTCCATCGCTCACTGGGCTGTAAAGAGAAAACAGGTTGCCTGGAGCCTTTTAGAAAGCCAGCCATTCATCTCTCCCAGTGCTTTCTGGCTCCGACATTAACACAGACATATTAAGAATTAATTCCCCATTTTCTGACTCGAGACACATGCCATCGGTTTTTGAATGTAGGGATTTTTACTGTAATGGCCATAGGAAATATCCCTCAAGTGAACACTTTAAGTGCACAGCTGGCGTTCATGTATCTTTTTTATTATCATCAACAATTCCCCAGAAGAGACTAAAACCAACAATGAATTTAACCTGGTAACAAGTATTGTCTGCTTATGTTGACCAAAAACAGGGAAAACACGTAAAAGAGCTAATCGCTTGCATTTGGTGAATTGCAGGCAACCTGATAAGTTTATTACTTAGAGATCAACTATCGAAGAGGTCAAACCACATGAACAAGCTCAATGTCTTCCTGATTACATTTACATTTGCAGACGGTTTTGTCCAAGGCAATGTACAAATCAGGTACAACCCAAGTGACAGGAGATCAAGGAGAAGCCTTGGAGAACAAGTGCCTCAACACTCAGTTCCTCCACCTGTCACAAATGCCACAAGGCTTGCAGGTGCATGAAGTAACATAAGTGCCTAATGAGCTAGGGAAGGATCGAGAGAGAAGATGATGTGGAACTACTCTCTGGTTTCAGAATAAAATTAATTAATTGTTTGGATTGCAGGGAAGGGAGTTCTGCATCATGGAGGCATAAGCAATATAAAGCTGTAGCTTCACAAATTCAAATGTATTTGTTATGTAAAGATATTTAAGACATGGCACGTTTTTCCTGTAGGTGCAAATCAATTTTAAATGTGATTTAGGTCTGTTGTACATGTCATGAACAGTCTGCCGTTCTCCATAGAAAAAAAAAAACACTTGGAGATAAAAAATTAAAATGAGAGCAAAATTAACATTCTGTTGATCATATCATTATTATCATGACTTGCCAATTCTGTAAATGTTTTTGTTTTTAATTTTAGATAAATGTGACAGAAGTGAGACACAAAAGAGAAACAAATGCATAAATAAGAGGGAGACAAAGAGAAAAACGTGTTGATATCAAGAGACCACTGTTGTGAAAACTGAAGTTACTGATGTGGAAAACTGAGAAGTTTTAAGTTTCACTGAAAAGTTTAATCTCTTTGGTCTCTTTTTAGGTGTAATGATATTTTGAAAGCTGCAATTTATACAGTTCAGTAGTTGCTATGAATGGTGATCAACCTCTGTTGCACCCGACAGTGTAACTTAACACCTACCGTCTAATATTCTCTCTGACTGATCTGCACACATCTTGGTAACCGCCTCTTTGCTTTTCAACACTTTCCCTTTTTAATCCTGTCAGCGTTTCTCTGATGACAGTATTAATAATTTGTGCCCTAATATGACCACTGATGCTGCTATTTGCGACGATTTTGTCTGCTGACTTCCAAACAGCAGGACAGGAAGTTATGCAGTGTGAAAGTGGTGGTTTGACAGTTTGTTGAATCCGACTTGGAACAACAACAACAACACTTGGAACTCGTACAAGCAATCCTAACCATCATTACTGTAAATTTACCTGGCAATAATTCACAAAGAACATAAACAAAAAAAGCATTTTGTCTACACATTTTCATCTGTAGTACTAACTGGGGGGGGGGGGGGGG